CCCCAAAACCCCAAAACCCCAAAACCCCATGTATATTCAAATTTATTGAATAAACGATTCTTATGAAATGTTTTAGATTTAATCAATAGAACACCCTTCTATATAACAACTCCACCAATTGTACATTGACAGATTGGACATTGAGAAGTAGATGTCTTTATCGTAAGGAAACAAGAGGGATGAAATAGATGACCACAACATACTTTTATGTAGGTTGTGGGTCGAGATAAAGAATATTGCAAGTATTCACTAATACGTACTTCCTCCAATCTAGCTCTTTCTCCAACTCAAGGTTCAATTAAGCTGTTCAGACAGTAAACTCAATCAGGAATTAATTTCTTTTCAATCTGTAGCAATGTGAAATCTTTAGATAAATCATGAGTTTGGCTAGCATATTGGTTTAAGCCATTTGGAGCATATCTGTTTCAATGATTTCACTGATGATAAATATAACTGAGAATCAGAAGAACATGAAGAGATAAGAAGGTCATAATATATCTTATTTGGTCTTTAAAGGTATGATCATCAGTTTTGAAAATGTAGAAGTAATTGATGCTAAAAGTTAAATCAAAAGAAATAGCCAGCATTCTCAGACATTCTAGAATTCAAGATTCTAAAGTCAGAGTACTCTTGAGTCTTTTCCTGGTCCATGCACTGTAAAATACCAAGGAGATCCAAAAAGAGTTGTGTGCAAATACAACATAGTAATTATTTCACAGAAACAGGACGATTGGTTCTAAGCAAAAGCTTATCAAAAGACATAAAAAGTCCATAAAAATAATAGAGAATACAAGACATAAAGCAAATATTGTATTGTGAACTTCAACCTTATTCCTTTGATAACTGATCCAATCACAAATTACAATTATTTGAAAAAATAATCCATAAAGAATCTGGATGATTAACACCACTAGCATTATGATATCAACAGAGGGGTAAAATTCGTGTGTGTACATTCTCGAAACAATTGTACAAAAGTCTTTGTTCCTGATAAAATAAAATATGGTAAGTATTACTCCTCCAAAATTCATGTCAAACCATTCTAAATTATTGTTCTTGCTCTTTAGAGCTAAAGCATAAATAGTTGAAATGAAGAAGGTGGAAACAATATATCAGATTTCAAAACTCTTCTCCTGCCAAGCTGAATGGCCAACCATGGAATTCTCAAATTTAGGTGGAGGAATATATTCACAAATCATCTGTCCTTTGTCAAAATAGTTATTGAAGGGTCATATCTCTTGTAAATTGCCTTCATAATTCTTGGTTGGCTGCATATAGTACAAGATAAAGGCTTGTATAAATGGAAGGCTCAGCTTTAACACTACTGCTATAGCTGTAAGGTCAACAAGGAGGGTTTGACCAATTGTGTTCCATCATCTTTGGTAACTCATAATTAATTTTAATATTAAAAAAATTATATAAGATTTTTTTGCAAAGGGGTTTTGGGGTTTTGGGGTTTTGGGG